CAACAATTAACGGGGATTAAATGTTTAGTTTGGAGATGTCTGGTTATGTGGAGATTGATAGAAATAGCATTGTGATTAGGGGGTAGTCATGGTGACTTTACTTTTGAATCCATGGTACAGTAATTAATTTTTGGATATTTTGATTAGGTTCTTGAGTGTTCTGTCACCCGAATACTTGGCTTGAGTTTCGGATTTGAGGTAAGTATATTTATGGTAACGCCCTTCGATTTTAAAAGTATGTTTTGACTTGTTTTTGAAATGGTGGCGGGACTAAACCCGTTTTATACCAAAGTAAGTATGACTGATTTGAAGTGAAATTTTATGCTTTTCATTAAATTGAGCATGCTTACTCGAAATTTAATTGATTGTCCTGATGATTTGAAAGTGATTGGTGAATTATGATTTTTCCGTTAACTTCTGCCTGTTTTGTCTCCGATGTGGTTATGTTATTGATGATCCTGCTAGTGGGGGTTAAACGCTAGCACATGTCGACATGTTATTGATAGAATTGGTTCGTTCGAGTGTAGCCTGCCAGTGGGAGGTTTATAACACTAGCCATGACCTATAGAGGAGATGTCTATTTCGTTCCTGCACCGCAACCATTTTTCATGATTACACTTGTTGGCATGCTATAAGCATGGTTGTCAAAATCGAGTTTTAAATCGTAAAATCTTAAGATTTTAAGATTTTAAGTATGTATTTCGAGTAAAATCTATGTTAAAATCGAAATCTCATGAAATTGGAAAGGAAAATCGTGAAATCGCAATTTTATGATAAAATCGTTTGAAATCTCGATTTTACATGGAGTGGAGGAATCACCCTTGTGGTTGGCTGGTTGCTTTGAGACGGAGGAGATGAAGGGGGGAAAACTCGCGAAGGTTGTAGATGTCCATGATTGTTGGTATCGATCTGCAAGTCGACCTGAAGAAGTCGAAGACCCGACCCCTGGCCTCCTCCAAGTTCACCGAGTTCGGCGGCACCTTCACGCCCCTCAACGTAAACGCCCTGTCTCCAATTGAAACCCAACACTCGAACCTCTGTGGATTGGATTTTAGGATCAAAGCAAAACAGCTACAGGTGGAAGACTGATGATTAAAGAAAATGAAGAAGAGGGTTCTGGATGGAAGAAGGGTGATGACCGGTGATGGAGATGGAGGCTGTTGATCGGAGAAAAAAATGGAGAAAGGGGATTCTAGATGGAAGAAGAATCGGGCTTTCTTTTTTTTTGGCCGTCTAAAGCCTCCTCTTTTTTTGTGTGGCTTTACCCTTTAAAGAGAGGAAACCCTAACGAAAACGATTTTAGGTAAAATCTCGATTTTGACAACCTTGGCTATAAGTTTAATAAGGGGAACTCCATATTTTACTTATTGAGTTTATCTCATAGTTTTTCCTTATCCACCATTTTAGGAAACGAAACTGAGGATGGGGAAACCATGGGAAGTGACGAGTTAGAAGGCTAGCCATCTTGTAAATTGAACATAGATTTTAGATATAATCATGATCTTGTAAGTTAGACTGTATTTAGAGATTTTATGATATCAGAGTAATATTAAAGATTTTATCTTCAGATTTTGTGGTATCAGATTGTGGTATGATAAGTTCCGAGCCTTGTGCATTTGTGGGACCCTCTCACGAGTGCATGGCGTCTGCCGCGTCCTCGGATTTGGGTTTTGGAGAGTGACACCTCAAAACAAAAAAAATTGCTCTTTAGTGTGAGATTCCTAAGGATTCCAAACTAGAGGTCAGGTTCACCTCAAACACTAACCTAAGCATAATGAAGGCGAGTGTGTGCAAAGGTCATGCCACTTCAATAACCTACACAAGGCAACTAAAACTAGTAACATATATCCCACATCAAATATATAAGACTTATAAACAAGCATAGCATGTAACTCATTTAATAGGTATAGCATTCAGAAACAAGTGCTACTTACACAATAAGAAAGGATTCACCTAGTACTTCCTTGTCAAGTGTAAAAGGTTAGTGGCACAAAGCAATTGTCACTGATCATGCAATAAGATATAAATAATTGCATAAAAGGGAAGGAACTCTTAAAGTACTCAATAGCTGATAAGTTGAATTCATATAAATATTAATGTGGAATTTTTATCTTGATATTATTAATGTTTGGATGAATTTTATGAGATTTTACATGGTTTTCATTTCTTGTGCAGAAAAAGACTTGAATGCATAAAAATAGGAGTTTTTGGGATTAATTGAACATCTTTTCAAAGTTGAGGGACTGAATTGCAAGAAGAAGGGTGCCTCTTTGGGACTTAAATGAATGAATCTTGAGATTTGGGATCTAAATGCTCATCGTACGAAAGTAGGAGAACCACTATTTTACCATTGAAGAAATTGCAAAGAGAGACCAGAAACTCGGCACATAATCGGGGTGTCGACACCATGTGTTAAGCGTCCAGAATTAGACTTTGTTTCCTGTTTTGTGTCGACACGCAATTCGGAGTATTAGCACCATGCATTCAACGTTCAAAATTCAAGTTTCCTATTTTGTTCCAAGTTCTACTTCTATTCCAACTAGGATTTTTAAAATCCTATAAATAACCATCCAAATTCAAAATTGGGGGTGATGAGCTTAAATTTCATACAATTATACATGGCTTTTTAGTCATGAATTGTAGCGTTTTATATTTTATTGGAACAATTTTATTTGGTTTTACATTGCTTTTATCATTCTTTGTAGGTAGAGGGTAAAACTAAATAAATTGAGAGTAAATGGGCTGAAGTGACAAGAGTTGAAAACATCAAGTCTGATTCCATGATTTTCCCATTTCAAAGACCAGAATTGAATGTCTTCTGCATACACGTGGAAAAAAACATGGTGGGCTTTATCTCATTGTGGAGATAAGATGGGCTTAAAAGAAAAGAAGGGCACGAAGAGGCACATTATTGAATATAAAAGAGGCAGTCGCTGGAGACTTCCGTGTAGAGAGGAACGGGAGAAAAAAAAGGGAAGCAGCCGGCAGAGAGTTTGAAGTCGAATCTGAGGCAGAACTTGTGAGGATTCTGTGCGAGGGA